AAAGATCCTTGCATGCTCTTTGAAATGGGGAATGGGAGCAAAGGAGGTGAACGAGATGGTCCAATCCTTTGCACAGAATTTATGGTGGATCCTCAAGTGCTGCTGCCCTGGCTATTCGATTTGTACCCAGAATAGATGAGCCTGTGTTTTTCCCAGGACAAAATTATCCCAGGATTGGTGTGTACACACATAACCACCTAATTAGTGTTTAGGGAGCAGCTGCATGCAGTGCTGGTTTTCTGCCATTGATTCAATGATGCAATCCCATGCCGACTATACAAATGTACTTTGTCGTGTGCCTGCTTTGTCGTGTGCCCGGATAATCTGTTACTACCTCTTATCTCGGACACTTTTTTTAGGATATATCTCAGGGCAATGAGCATGGATGTCTGTAGGAATGCATTTTGTCTTAGGATAAGATAGTTTATCCCAGGTTAAACGTAACATAGGCTCATAGAAAGTGAAGGTGGGAAGGGACCTCAGGAGGTCACATCTAGTCCAACCCCCTGCTCACAGCAGGACCAGCCCCAGCTACATCATCCCAGACAAGGCTTTGTTTACCTGGGTCATCAAAACCTCCAAGGATGGAGAGTCCACCACCTCTCTGGGGAACCTGTTCCAGTTTTTCCTAATATCCAACCTCAACTTCCCTTGCTGCAGCTGGAGCCCATTGCTCCTTGTCCTGTTGTCTGCTCCCACTGAGACCAGCCCAGCTCCATCCTCTTTGCAGCCCCCCGGCAGGGAGGTGAAGGCTGCTATTCAACCCCCCTCCGTCTTCTCTTCTCCAGACTCAATCAGCCCAGTTCCCTCAGCCTCTCCTCTCCAGTCCCGTCCCCCAGCCCCACAACCATTTTCATTGCCCTCCACTGGACTCTCTCCAATTTGTCCACACTTGCACCACAGTTGACATCTGTCTGCACCATTAATGGGACGCTGATCTCGAGTTCGAGTAGAGGCAGGATAAGGGTAGAAGTCGGCTCTCTAATCTACACTGATATCTAATCTACACTGAGAAACAGCAACCATCACTTTATATACAGTTTGTACTGATCTGAGCTCCAGCTGTCAGCAATCAGCACATCAGTGCTGAAACACAGAAGTATTTGCAGGGATGCCTAAGCATACACAGAAAGTGCACACTGCCAGAGGCTTGCACACGTTAGTGCTATACTTCCATGAGCCAGGTCCCCACAGTATAAACGCTGTGCATGTATCATGGTGCTCTGCATCTTTCTCAGCACCATTTCTGAATGCATTTAGGATTCCTTCACTGAATGTTTTCAGCCACCTCCAAGCTAGTTACTACCCTGAAAACTTCCCTTCTTGTAAATGGCCAGGGCGATTTGTACACTCTTGCCTTGCTTAGAGTTGTAAATTTGTGGATGTTGGTATTTTCTGAACATTTTTGTGAGAGAGAAGAGCCTCTGACCTGAAGCAGATTAAAGGTTAAAGATATGTGGTCACACAATACTCCAAAACAGGAGACAAAGTTGTCATTACTGCAGTTTCAAAAGGTCATTCATAACAATCCTACTGTAGATCTATCATTACTGCTCTAATAGTCCAAACTCTCACTGCATCACAGATATTAGAAGTAACTTCAACAAGTTCACCAGCAGCTTTATAAATGTCACCTCTTAAGTCTTACACGTGAAAGTGCAGTAGTGCAGTAAAGCATTGAGCTGGCCTTTTGGCAGCCGCTGGAGTATTACATCGGAAAGGTCAGAGGTACAGTACTACATTATCCGAACTACAGCAGCTAGGAGGACACTTTCTGAATGCTGTAAGTGGCCTGGATTCTCATCACTATGAAAAACTTTGAGGAAGAAAGCAAAGGAAAAGAAAATGTAATGTGAACTTGCAGATGCTATTGGCAGAAAAGAGCCATCAAAAAAGATGTCATAAATTACTAGCCTGTCTTACACAAGAGAGAGATTATTTGTAGAAATGGGGCATGAAATGAACACTTTTATATTTTAATTAAATTGTAAAACAGACATAGCTCATATATTGTGGACGTTTATCACAAGTAACTGGTTGAGAGGAACACCAGCGTCAATGCTTGTTCTGTACATTCATGCCCGAACCTGACCTCTATTCCTGTTTGCTATAATGCCCTGCATGCTCAATTCCAGCTTGATCCCCTATATGATTTCCCCACAATCCTCTCTTAAAAACTTGTTGGAGGTGCACTTTAGGACTCATTCATTGTTGGCTGCATTAATGCTTTCGGGCAATTGTGTGCAAGTGAAGCATAAAAATACCATACATCCGTCTGTGCAGATAACTTCATCAGACAATAAATAAGACGTAGCTGTGGTCAGAGATTCCCATCTCTTGGGTAAAAGCTTCCAGGAAGATGGAATAATTTAACATAGTAAAGGTCTAATGGCATTAATTAGACTGGATGATAAAGGCAGACTTGCTAGGAGGTTTTACAACGTGAACTGTAACCCCCATAGATGTGGTTCTTTGAGCTACTATTAGCAAAGCACCCTTCCTCCCAACCCCTTTGGTACACAGCTCTGAAAGCTGGGTTTTTTTGTTTTTTTTTAATGCATTGGCTAAACCAAAAAAAAAAAAAAGGAAAAAAGCAAGTTTTCGTTTGGGTTGCCTTAATGAACCCACCCTTCCAATTAATTTTAATTGGGCTACATTTAGTTTTAAATGGTTGTTGTGAAAAAATAAGAAATATTTAACCCTAACTCTTGCCAATTTTTTTTGTGCCATAATTTTCCAAATTCAGCCCAAATTCATGAATATTTTCAGTTATCCCCATGCTAACTTTATTTTGGTAATAAACTTTGTAGCCAAAAATATCCCACTTAGGACAACCCAGCAAAATGCAATCTACTAATCAGTGACAAATACGTAGTGCCTCCTGGGTCCTAGCTCATAAGCCTTCTTCTATTGGTACTTACAATTGTTAGTTTAAGATAGGAAAGACCTAATGTATGCATACTCCCACTGGCAGGCCCAAATCCAGCTAATTAGGTCTGTGTGAATACAACCCTGTAACCATTCATCAGCCATATATAATCACTGAAAACACCAGGAAAGAGAGAAAACTGTTTTACTTACCGCTGCACTGAGTCTGAATATAAGTTTCCCTTTCAT